TGCTATATTATCCAGGTTGGCCCTGAACTCCTTGGCTCAAGAGATTCTCCTGCCTCAGTCTCCTACACAGCTGGGACTATACCAACATTCTTAGCCTGAAATACATATACTTATTTGTTTGTTTTTTGAGACAGGGTATTGCTATGTAGTCCAGGCTGGCGTTGAACTCACAGTGATCCACCTGTCTCAGCCTCCCAAGTCCTGGGTTTACATGTGTGCTCTACTACACCCAGCCTGAAATATATATATACTTTTAAAAATTGCATCTGGCCAGGTATAGTGGTGTGTGTAATCCTATCACTCGGGAGGCTGAGGCAGGAAGATCACTGTGAGTTCAAGACCAGCCTGGGCTACAAAGTGAGCTCAAGGCCAGCCTGAACTGCAAAGCGAGACCCTGTCTTAAAAAAGACAAAAAAAAAAAAAAAAATGCATCTATATTGAACACATATAGGCTTTTTTTTCTTTTTTTTTTTTTTTTTTTTTGTTTTTTTTTTTCAGTACCGGGAATCGAACTCATGACCTCCCACTTGCCAAGCAGGTGCTGTGCCGCTGAGCTAAATCCCCAGCCCCTAGGCTTTTTTTTCTCAACATAATTGATGTCATTTGCATTATATTAGGTATTGTGAGTAATCTAGAGGTGTTTTAAAGCATAGGAGAGCACTGGGTAGGTTCTATGTCAATACTACACCTTTTTTCATAAGGAACTTGGAGTATCTGTGGATTTGGGTATCCTTGAGAGCTCCTGGGCCCAAGACCCCAGGACCACAGCAGGCGACAGTGGCTGGCACACCTATCGGGGGAGCACAAGGGTTCGCGCTGGGCAGCAGTGACAGACACCACCTGTCTCTGTGTCCTGTCTGTGCTGGGGAACCAGGCTCAGTGACCTTCTAGAATGGGGTGGCCCCGCGTTTTAGCGGCCTCCCGGGAGTCTCAGCATCCAGCTTCTGGGAGTCCTGGTATCCAGCCAGGAGCGCAGAGGAGGCTCCCAGGAGAGGAGACGCTCCTGCCACCGGCTTAGCAGCCTCTGTTGCCCCAGCCCTTCCTGCCACCGGACTCATTTGCCTGCCCCAGAAGCAGCTTCTGTGCTCCCACAGGGGGGACAGCAGAAGGCACAGCTCTGTCCCTAGGTGCCTGCACAGAGCGAAGGTAACCCTTCCAAGTGACAGACAGGGAGCAGCGGCTCCACCAGCCACGCTGGTGAGGGGGGGGGCGCGTCGAATGGCAAACGCTGAGAGCCACCCCATCTGCTCCCTCCTCCCTGCTGTTACCCATCGACCCGCAGCCCGCCCATCCTCCATCCCACACAGGTATATGTCCTCGGAGAGGGATGCTGGGGATACAGTGAGACAGACATAGCCCCTGCCCCGCTTCTCCGACCCTTGACCCAGGACCCTTCACCAAGCCTGCTGGTCTGAGACAAAAACACAGATGACAGCCCTGACCCCAGTCCTCCTCACCTTGTCTTTTTTCCTTCTTTTCCTTGAGATAACTTCTCTCTAGGTTGGACTAGAACTCGAGATCCTCCTGCCTCAGCCTCCTACCTGGGATTACAGCCAGGTGCCACCACACCCAGCTGGCCCTGCTTGTGACAGTACAGCAATACGCGCACGGGTCCTCATGTGGCAGGCCAGCCTAGATGCCCAAGCTCTGCCATGCCTGCTCCTCAACAGCGGGATCTACCACACTTCAGGTCTTGGGGAGCTCACGCTGGCCAGGCAGTGCACCCTCTAGAGGACAGAACAAGACAGAGTCCCCGGCAGCCTGGGAGGAGGCTCAGTGCCACTGTCACGGAATTCAGGGCTCTTGGGCACCCACAGCAGGGCCTAGGGCAGAGGGGAAAGCTCCAGGTGGGCACACCTGTTTAGCCTCGAGAGGTCCCCTTTGCCTGAGGGCCCTGCCTCTGGGAGGTCTTGGGGAGCCCAGGGTCCCTCCTGGCTGTCTCTTGGGGCCCCAGCAGCCTCGCCTGCCCCTCTGGCTACACGTTAGTCAGCGCCAGGCCCTAGCCGACTCATCCACTTGCGCTCCCTGTTTGCACAGAAGTGGGGTGAATCAGCCCCTGACCCGGCTCTGCCCTGGCCTGGGGTTTGTTCGGAAGACAGCGGGTCAGCACGGTGGCCTGCCGGGAACCGCTGAGACACCGGGCGGCTTCCTGTCTCCCGGGTCAGGATGTGACCCCGGCCCCCTCCCGGAATCCAGGCTCCGGCCTGGCCTTCGGGGACCCAGCGTGATAAAGCCTGTGCCCAGTGGCCCCTTGCCCGCTTGCTGACCACCCCAACACACACACACGCACACAAACACGCGCCCGCACACACATGCTGAGCACCGCTTCCCTGGGGTTCTTGGCTGCCAACACCCACAGGAAATCTGAGGGCTCTGGGGCCGCACGGGGGCGGGCGGGAAAGCCAGCTCTCGGTGCCAGGGACTGCTGAAGGCAGCCTCAAGGCAGGCGGGATGGGACAGGCTGCCCAGAGGCCCACCCCTCCCCCCGCCACTGTCTGCAGGCCTCGCACACGCAGTAGCCTCTGCCAGGAAACCGCCACGTGCTCTCGGCTAGACGCTGAGACCTCGGGGCCAGTGTCCCTTCCTCCACGCCCTGTGCTTTTCCTACCACCACTTGCGGCCCCCTGCACCCCTGCCCCATGCCAACGCCACCACGGAACTCTGGGGCTGCTGCTGCCCACCTCCCTAGACTGGCGATGGCCCAAGGGCAGGGCCTGCCTCTACTTTGGGCATCTCAGGCAGAGCACAGATCTGGCGAGGGCTGGCGAAGGGGCACTGCTGAGGCACAGGCTCCACGGCGATCACAGCCAGAGTTGGCCAGGGTCACAGGCACAACCCTTAGCCCAGGAGGCCGGGAGACCTCACCTAGCCACTCTGAAAGTAGATTCCCACCCCTCCTTGGCTACTTGCCGTGATCACTTCTGAAGCTCAGAAGAAGCCAGCCATACCTGTAATCTCAGCCCTCGGGAGGCTGAGGCAGGAGGTGGACCACAAGTTTGAGGCCAGCCTGAACTACATAGCTAGAGCCTCTCAAAAAGCCAAAGAAAAAAAAAATTGAAGCTCAAATGAATCGGCAGATATGAAGCTGTTCTGTGAACTGTACCAGGCCTAGCAAAATGAAGGTATTTATGGTAAGAAATGGAAGCTAGAGAGGAGGAGCAGCAGTGACAAAACCATGGCTGCCATTCGTCAAGCAGTGGCTCTGGGCAGGCCCTGTGCTTGATATTTTCCCTGTGCTGTCCATCGAAATTCACAGCGACTCTGTGGGGTGGGAACTATTATCACCATCTCCGTGTTTCCGGGGGGACAGGTGGAAGGAAGACCAAGGTAAGGACAGGTGGCCAAAGGCCATGCAGCCCGAGGAGCTTAGCCAAAGCCACACTGGAGGACTGTGTGGCTTCAGAACCCCTGTGTGTGTGTGTGTGTGTATGTGTGTGTGTGTGTGTGTTGTCACTGTGATTTTGTTTATTCTGGGATGGGGTCTCACTGTGTTGCCCAGGCTGCCCTGGAACTCATGGGGTCAAGTGATCTTCCTGTCTCAACCTACCGAGTAGCGGGACAGCAAGTGTGTACCGTGGTGCCCAGCCAGAACCTGTGCTCCTAATGCCAACAGCTGCATTGGCCCCAGATAAAGACCAAGCTCCCCAGCAAAAGGACAGGTCCTTCCCATCTCCCCAGCCCCACTTGGAGGTGAGCAGCTCGTTCCTGGGGTCACTGAGCCCCAAGACCACAGCCACTCCCCTGGCGCCTGCCTTCACCCCCCCTCTGCTCCTCCCACTGCCTTGCACACAGTGAGCTCCTGGCCCCCCTCAGCTTGCTTCCTGCAGGACCCTCGCCTGATTCCGTGTTTCCGGGGGCAGCTGGAGTCCCCTGGCCTGTGCTCCCTGCAGGCGCACCGGTCTCCTGCACCTGGCTGGTTGTCTCCACACCTGTCTCCTACCTGGACCTGAACACCTGTCCCACACCTTCCTTTGCCCCCCGGCCTGCTGTTAAATGATCAGGATTGGGGATCCCAGTTGCTCAGAAGAAACACAAGGAACCCGAATGTCAGAACAAATAAAATGAATGTACACAGCGCTGGGCGTGGTGGTGCATGCCTGTAATCCCAGCACTCGGGAGGCTGAGGCAGGAGGATTGCTGTGAGTTCGAGGCCAGCCTGGGCTACAAAGTGAGCTCAAGGCCAGCCTGAACTGCATAGTGAGACCCTGTCTCAAAAAGACCAAAACAAAAACAAATGTAGAGAGAACAGTCATACTTTCCATATCATTACCAAATTTACAGAAAAGTTACAATGCCTCCGACAGCCACACCGAATGTGTCTGGTGCTGTCTGTGGTTTGGAGATTATCGAAGCCCACAGTCCTCATGGCTGGCAGCGTGGTGGGGAGCAAGGACCCCACCTTGGTGGTCTGGGCACCTTCTTATCACCACACAAATGCAAGACATCTCAACAGTTTTGAGGGCAGGCTGGCTACAAGCTTTCCCTGAGCCACACTGCTAAATTGCTCTTAGGACCTAAGGCTACAAGGCCACCCGTGCTGCCCGGCTCTGAGGTCCACCCGGGACAGGCGACGGAGCAGTCCTGAGATGGATCTCTCTGGCCGTCAGACTGCCTGGTGGGGCCACCGACATATGATGAGGGACCATTCCAGGGAGAAGAGGGGTGCTCTTTCTCAAAGTCTGAGCCCGAGAGTGCAGCCACGTCCTTTGAGAAGCTGTGAGTCCCACCTCTGGGGGTGCACAGATGCCAGGTCCTCTGGGCTGCCACCCACCCAGCCTCCCACCAGGCACTCCCTTTCCATGTGGGTCTTAGGGCGGCCTCCAAACACTGCCCCTACGCCCCAGAAATGCTGCTCCTTGTGGGCAGTGGGAGAGGCCCCGTGGGTCCCTTGGCAGGGGCCCCAGGGAGGACAGGACCACTGCCCTGGGCACGGCCACCAAGAAAGCACCTCTCATCCCACGGCCCTGCAGCTGCTTCCTGACCCTGCCTGGGGCACTCACCCTTGGGAACTCCAGGAAGAGGATGTGGACTTCTAGCGTCGCACCAGGAGTCTGCGCCACGCAGCCCTCTGAGACCTGGCTGGTGATGTAGGTCACCTCGCCTCTGTGGGGGTCCACGGGCTGTAGGTCACAGTGCACATTTTCCGCAAGACCTGCTGGAGAAGCAGAGGGGGGAAGAGACCAGGTATGAGGCTGAAGATGTCGCTCAGTGGCAGAGAGCCCTCACCCAGCACGTGGGGGCCCTGGGTTCCAATCCCAACAACAGGGAGGAAAAAAAAAAAGCAACCAGGTGACAATTACTTCCATGCTCTGAATGTCTGCTGGGTACCTGGCATGGACTCAGGGCTTTATTAAGTCTTCACAGCTACCCTAAGAGGTGGGCATCATGGTACCCATTCCACAGATGAAGAAACAGAGGCTCAGAATGGAGAAGTCTCTTGCACAAGGTCACAGCACTTCCAGGTCTAAAGTCAACACATACAACACACGACACCAGTTGCATTTTAATTTCAGATAAACAATACATGTTATGTGCTTTGTTTTGGGTTTTTTTCGAGACAGGATCTTGCTATGTATTCCAGGCTGCCCTTGAACTCACTATGTGATCCAGGCTGGCTTCAGACTTGGCGATCCTCCTGCCTCAGCCTCCTCCTAAGTGCTGGGATCATAGGCATGTGCTACCATACGTGACAACAACACATAATTTTAAACGTAGAAGTATATCCCAAATAATGCCTGGAATGTACTTATACTACAAAAACTTTCATTGTTTATCTGCAATTCAAATTTAACTGGGCGTCCTCTATTTATCTTTGCTGCACCTGGTAAGGCAAGGCTCAGGATCCACTTTCGAACTTAAGGCCAGTCCAACCTCAAAGAAGGCAGGAGCTGAGGTCAGGGGACAAAACTTTCCCTCCTGACCCTCACGGTGGCCCTGGAGTTATGGCTCCCAAGAGGGTCCAGTTTCCTGGCCCAGGGGACAAGGTGGGAAGGAGGGCAGCCCGGGTTGGAAGGCCACTGTCTTCGGCCTAGGCCTCAGTGCCTGTGGTGGGGCGGCCGGGAAACGCAGGTCCTGAGGGAGAGGAATGGAATTTCACCCTGACCCCGCAGAGGAGGAAAAGGAAATGAGGCCCCTACACCTCGTCCTCAGGAATGTGCCGCGGGGAGGGGGGCGGCGGAGGAGGGAAGGAGGACAGAGCAGGGGAGACTGTTTGGAAGTTTGTGTCTCCATCTTGTCGCGCTCACTTCCTGTTTTCTTGGAGATCAAAGATGGGCGCGGAGGGACCGCCTCACGTCCAGCTGACGCCAGCTCCAAGGAGGGGGGCTGTCTGCAGCCTGCCCAGCCTCCTCCTTCCCCACCTTTCCACAGCTTGCTGGTCTCAGAGCCAGGTCAGACCAGATGGAGGCCGGCCGGCCTTCCCCATCAAGGGCAGAAGATCAGGGCAAGGACATTTGGCCTCCGTGGGCCCAAAGACTTTTTATTTTGGTTCTTTGAAACCGGATCTCCCTGTGTAGTTCAGGCAGGCCTGAATTCACTAAGTGGCCCAGGCTGGACTTGAACTCACAGCGATCCTCCTGTCTCAGCCTCCCCAGTGCCGGGATTATAGGCGTGCACTGCCAATGCCTTATGAAATCCTTGTTCTGGTCCCATCCTGAGTGTGCCGGGGATTCTGGAGTACCTAGGTAATGTGGCAAGATGGCTCAAACCAACGCCCTTGGAGCCAGGCTGACCTGGGTTTGACTCTCAGGCCCTATCTGCTACCTAGATTTGCTGAATGATTTTACCACATAGCTTTGGTTTCCTGGTCTGGAAAATGACACAAAGAATAGAACCCACCCAGCCACACAGTATGCTAGGAAGCCCCCATGAGATAGGGCACGTGGCAGTTCTTTTAATTACATTTATTTTTGCTAGCATAGTGGCTTATTCTGGTAATCCCAATACGGGAGGCTGAGGCAGGAGGACTGTTGTGAGTTTAAGGCCAGCCTGGGCTGCCTAGTGAGTTCAAAGCCAGCCTAGGGTACATAGTGAGACCCTGTCTCAAAATCAAGAAACAAAAAAATTGCATTTATTTTATTGCCTGCAGGAGCACTGATGGTGTGCTGATGGGGTGAGGTGTGTAGCTGGTACCTGCAGCCTCCAGGACAGACGGTGTCCTCTGGGAGCCAGGTCTCTGGGGTCTCCCTCACCCTGGAAGACTCAAAGCCCACACCCCCTCCTGCCATCTCATCTTCCTCTGACCCCCAGCCCCCTAACTCAGGTCCAAGCCCTTCCCCCACAGATGGGGAGACTGAGGCTCAGAGGGGTAGGATTTGACGAAGTCTCACAGCTCTGGGGACCAGGCTGGGCCGTGACCCCCTCTCCCTCCCTGACCCGGGGTCTGGCCTATAGAGTAGCGCGCACCTCCCTCCTCTCCTTCTCTGCCCCGTCCCCAGACTTCCAGGAACCCCAGTTCCTCCTGGACTGCCGGGGCCGCCCGGGGCCACCTCCTCCATGCCGTCAGCCTGGCCATTATGTAATGATCAGATAACGGGCCGGGCTGGGAGATCAGATAAGAGGTCCATTTATTTTGGGGCCTTTTCGGATCCTGGCTGCCCCCACCCCGCAGACTAGAATGGGGAGACAGGAGGGAGGGTGACGCCGGAGCCCGTCTCCTGGAGCCCAGACCGCCGAAAACAATCCCCTGGCACCAAGGGAAACTCCGAAGCCTCCTGGGACCAGACCCGGTCAGAGGCGGCGCCGCCACCGAGAGCTTGGGTGAGTGGGCCTCCGGGTCGAGACCCTTGGGCCACCTCCCACCGCCGTCCTCTCCTCCCCTCTCTTTCCCACCGAAGCACACAGCCACTGCCCAGGTTCTGCAAACCGCTCGTGGAACCCCTGGAGCATAACAGTCAAGGACAGTTGCCCTGGGCTGGGGAGACAGCTCAGTGGTACAGCGCCTACCTGGCAAGCACAAGGTCCCAAGTTCAATTCCTGGTACCAAAAAAAGAAAGAAAGAAAGAAAGAAAGAAAAGTAGCCCTGGAAGGCAGGTGTGGTGATGGGTAATCAATCCCAGCACTCTCACAGGTTGAGGCAGGAGGATTGAAAGTTCCAGAGAGCCTGGGCAAATTAGGGACTTAGCAAGAGCCTGTATTAAAATAAATTATAAGGTTGAGCGTGGGGGCGCACACCTGTAGTCCCAGCACTCGGGAGGCTGAGGCAGGGGGACTGACATAAGTTTAAGGCCAACCTGGGCTACATAGTGAGTTCAAGGCCAGCCTGGGCTACATAGGGAGACTCTGTCTCCCCCAAAATCCTCGAAAATAAATAAAATAAAATAAACTATAAAAGGCTGGTGATGTAGCTCAGTGCAAAGGCCCTGGCTTCAGTCCTCATGGCCAAAGAAAATAAAAACAAAAACAAAAAAGAAAAGCACCTTGGCACCAGATGGCCTGGCTCGCATGTGCCAGCTTAGCCCCGCCGAAGCCCGGTCGCCCAGAGCCAAAGTCAACCTCTGCAAGCCTCAGCCCGAGTATGCCAAGGGCTTCAGCGCGCCCAGCCCCCAGGTTCCCCATTTCCGGACCCACAATTACTGAAGAGGCTTCTGTCCCGCTTCCTGGGGGCTGGGTCCTGCCTCACGGCCTCTTGGGACTCCCCCACTTGAGCCCCTAGCAGCCCCGGGAGGGGGCAGGCGTGGAACCCATCTTACATGGAACAAACCGAAGGCTGGGAGGTTGATGAGCTCAACCCGGGACACCAGCCACCAAGTGACAGGCCCTGGCTTTGAACCCCGACGCTCCAGCTCCGGCACCTGACATGCACTTTCCCGGTGTGTTGATCAGGTGCGGTGAGTCAGTCTGAGGTAGGGGACACCCGTGGGGGCTCCACACGGAGGAGCTGTGAATATTAAGTCACGATACCAGGGCAGGGTTGGTTGGTTGGCGTGTTTTCTGTACTAGGGACCGAACCCAGGGCCTTCACACTGAGCTCCACTGGCCCATTTTTAATTTTGAGACAGGGGCTCAATTAGTCACTAAATTGCCCAGACTAAGCTTGAACTTGCAATTCTCCTGTCTCAGCCTCCCAGAGGGCTGGCACTGCAGGCCTGGCTTGGGCAGGTACTTTCCATCCAGGGTCTTTCTGCTGCAAAGTGCCCCTTTTCCTTCGACCGCCCTGCACCTCCTGCCATGCTGTCCTCCCCCAGGGGGCCAGTGACAGCCTCCGAGTTCCAGGCTCAGCCAGCCTCTCCCCAGGGCCACCAGAGAGGCCTGCGTTCCCCTTTGGCCCTGTCTTTCCCATGGCTTCCCCAGGCCCGTAGTCAGACTCACACACTGCAGCCTAAAGTGTAAAGTGCTAGGAAGCCAGGCGTGGTGGCACACACCTATAATCCCAGCTACTCAGGAGGCTGAGGCAGGAAAATTCCAAGTTCAAGTCCAGTCTGGGCAATTTAGCAAGATCCTGTCTCAACATAAAATAAAAAGGGCAGGGGAATGGCTCTGTGGTAGAGTATTTGCCTATTATACACAAGGGCCTGGGATCAATTCCCAGTAACACACACTCACACACACGCCAATGGTTGCAATCCTGATTCTGCCAGCTTCTTTTCCGTGCCTCAGTGTCACTCTCTGTGAAATGGGGCAATGACAATCACAATACTTCCCTCCCGAGGTTAGTAAGCATCTCCCTAAGGTGACACATCGCGATGTAAGGCGACTCCCCATGAACGAGCTGCCGTGACAACTACGTGTGTGCTCGCTTGAGGAGATCTGGGCTTTCCCCAAACACACCTCGCTGTTCGCTCTTGCCATGCCCTTCCTCAGACTCGTGGTCATCCCATGTTTGATCCGCAGGCCAACTTCTATCCATGCTTCAAAACCCTGCTGTGAAATCTCACTGTAACGCTTCCCCCTTTCAGAAGTGCATCAGTACCCAGATGTCCTTGTGGAACCACACACACCCAGATGTGCTGTTTTATTGTCTGCCGTCTGCACTCCCAGCAGATGGTGCTTTTTTCCGGGACAAGAGGGAGCCTGGCCCATCCTGGGTCCTGGTCCCTCGGCCCAGGCTCAGGCGGGCACATTGGTGAGCTCAGTTCTGTCAGGCCTGCCTGTGACTTAGCACATGACTCACACCAGGTCCCTCCTCCATCCTGGGACTCAGTTTCCCTGTGGGGCTGGGTGGGGAGAAAGGGATGGGTGGGACATGGTCCACGTTCCCCTGGGGGTTCCGAAGTCGCATTCGGGGATGGAGGCAGGGAGAGGACAGGGCACTCATGCAGCTCCTGAAGGCAGGGGCAGGTCCCAGGTGAGAGGTCAGGCAGCTCGAAGATGCTCGTCACCCACCGGTCAGGACAGTGCAGGGGTGAGGCCCAAGGCTCAAGCCCCAGCTGGCCATTTCAGGTCATCACTCTGCGGCACCTCTCCCCTGCCTGTGTCCCCATCTGTAAAATGGGAGCACAGGAGCTTCTGCCTCCTGCTAAGTCTGCTGGGGTGGTGCCGGTTTGCAGTAGGCGCTAAAGGCCAGTGAGTGTCCCTGTCTCAGCCAGGTATGGAGGAGAGCTGAGCCCAAGATGAGGGTCCCCACGGCCAGCTTCCCACCAGCAGGGAAAAGAAGCCGAGCTTGCGGGCAGGTAGCCTGGGGCTGGAATCTGGACCGACTTGTCCCAGACTTCCCTGACCTTATTTATAAAGTAGGCCTGACACACAAGGACAGAAGTGAGAGGGAATCTTTTTGTCTGTTTTGTTTGTCTGTTTCTGTTTTTTGTATGTAGTCCGGGCTAGCCTTGAATTTACTATGTAGTTCAGGCTGGCCTCGAATTCTTGGCAATCCTCCTGCCTCAGCCTCCTGAGTGCTGGGATTACAAGCAAGTGCCACCGGGCCTGGCTTAGAGAAGGAATTTTAATGGTCCTGTCTGCACCATCCCCAGCACCTGCCCTCTCCCCAAAATCCTTTTTCCTCCTGCCAGTGGGAAGCTGCCCTGAATATGGCCTGGAAGAAAAATGAAGTCCTGGCTGGTGTCACTGGTCCCCTCTCCAGCGAGGCCCAGAGCCCACATCTGCGGCATCCAGACCTCAGTCCCAGCCACCCAATTTGGCCAATATAGGAAAGGTACATGGAGGTAGTGTTTATAACCAGAACAAAGGGAAACTGTCTAGATATCTGACCACAAGGGGCTCACTGGGCAAACAATGGCGCATGGAAGGGACAGAATATTCCAGAACTGCCATTCCAGAACTGGCCCGGAGTCCACACAACAACACAGAAACATTCTGGGACACAAGAAGGACATATAAGACCCCTGGAGGGGCTGGGGATTTAGCTCAGCGGCAAAGCGCCTGCCTGGCAAGCGCAAGGTCGTGAGTTCGGTTCCTGGTACCGGAGAAAAACCAAAAAA